TATATATATATATATGTATGTATATATATATATATGTATGTATATATATATATATATATATCGGATCGGATATATTTATCACTTAAACTCTTTATTTGTTTGTACTTTTAAAAGACTAGTAAACTATAATTAGCTTGTGATAAATAATAGAACTAACAATTTCATTCCTCACTCCTGGAGAGAATAAACTGGGTCCAACTCGGTTATTTATCGACTTACCTATACGCTGTTTGTCAAATGATGTCGTCGTCGGGGAGTGACAAGGTCTAGTTCGTTTTAATATTTACATTGGAAAATGTTTTGTCTAATAGTTTGTAAATTCTAATCTTATATTTAGTACTCCTCTTATTTAATTTTTATGTCTCGGTATTAAATTATAAGACTAAAATTATTCCGTTACATCTTATATTTCTAGAAAACACTCGGCTTAAATAATTCTAAATCCACATAGACAAGACAAGAATTATGTTTTCAATTACTTAATTAATAAAATGTTTGTAATATTGATTAGTTTAAACCATTTCAAATGGTTATTTGTAACTCTACCTATTTCTAGGTGCTTGAAATGTGTGGCTTAATTAATTATCCTAATATACTTTAGACAAGATAAAAGATTAATTTCGAAAGATTAATTAATAATATAAACAATTCCATTAATTAATTATTACTAATTCATTCTCTAACAATTAACCGAAGTACTAATTAAGAGTTAAAATTAAAATGGTTAAATCTAATTCGGAATGCTAACCCATTTAGAATTACCAATTTATCATCTCAAATAGAATATTCAATCAACATCATCATATATAATAGCAAACAAAATTCTCAAAGATCGATATATTAATATCACTAGTATTTCACCGGTGCGATGCACAGGATAATATTTACTTATAAATTCAAGATGAAATTAAAAATAATTGAATGGGTAGTTTGTTATTTTATCTTTTAGTAATTCATTTATATATTAGAAGAGAGCTAATAATGAGCAGATTAAGTCGGAAAAACTTGATCTTTGCTACTTATTTTTAAAATAATTTTTTCGTTTCTCCCTTTTGACAAAATTATTTACAAAACTATCATTTACCATTTGTAAAATATGTGAAATTTTGCACTGAATAGGACTAAAACATAAGTCATTTCTCAATGTAGGACTTAAACTTTTTTATTCTCTAAATAGAATGTAATATTGTCTAGTGAGAAGAATAATGACCAAGTGATGCTGAACATTTAGTTGAATAATAACTAATAGATAATAACCAATGATCCTACATTAGGAAATAAAATAATAGGGTCCTATATTGAGAAAGTCATTTTTTCAATGAAAGGATATTAGACTTATAAATAGCTTATAAGTTAAGAATTATTTATCAACAATAAAGCAATAAGTACGAACACAGAAAAAATACCAACTATGTAAAAATATGGAAAAGAGAGTAATTTTTTTATTGAAATATCTATACAAAAAGAACACTACTACCAACTTTAGGCGTAGTATTATATACCTCCAATATATGCTATTTTATAAATAATGTGAAGGATAAAATCTCAAATATATGCTCCAATTGGTAAGCTATAAAAATTCCCCACCCTCTATATTTGAAAGGCCCTGCATATCTTCTATTTCTCTCATTTTTGTCCATCAGATGTCTTCAACATCATCTGTTGATNATTTAATATCTTATACTCCCTCCGTCCCTGAGTGTTTGTCCACTTTCATTTTTGCACACCATCCAATGCACTTCTTTAATCCATTTTATCTTGTAATTTGTATATTAAAAAATTATAAAAATTATATATTAATAATCTATATGTTAAGACGAATCAAACAAGATCACACATGACTATTTTTAGGCTTACACATTGAGAGAATTTGATGAGTCAAAGTGCTTAGATGAACAATTCCAAAAGTCAAAAGTGGACAAACACTCAGGGACGGACCAAGTAATAAAATAATAAATGAATAGGGGGAAAATTGCTCCACGTATGTTGCATGTTTAGATGGGCTAAAAGAGTCGGTGGAACTTCACGTACTTGAGTTGACAACAGTAGCCCGGTGCTAATACTGTAAAAAGAAACATTAGAGGACACAAATGTTATGCCATGTCTCCATAACATATACCAAGATAAAAATGCTTATTTTAGCATGTGCATATTTTAAAGTTCCTTCTGTTTGAACAGGAAAATGCATTACATCTATAATATTTGTTGCTTTGTCGTATTGTGGTAGGGTATTCAAAGGTAGTTGATTTGAAAGCATAAAGACCAATATAATGGTAGTTGAATGTGCATAACATTTACACAAAATAAAGATATAATGTACCTAAGAGTCCTAAAAATGAAGAT